ACTCGTTTGGTGTGAAACTAATGCGTGAGAGTGAGGTGGCCGGCCTGTTTGTCCTGTGTGTTGTGACTGTTGTGAACGGTTATTTGTTGTGTCGTGCGTACGCTAACCACTCTTTGTCTTCAGAACACCATGGGACAAATGACATCGTCCCCATTGTCCCTCACCCTCGACCATTGGTTGGAGGTTCGAGAGAGGGCTCACAATCTCTCCTTACAGGTTAAAAAAGTAAATGGCAGACTTTCTGTTCGTCTGAGTGCACCTTCCCCTCATCTTAGCAGTTAAGAACATCATCTTCTGCCCCGGACGAGAGGGCCATCTCAATCAGGTCGCCTACATCTTGGTATGGCAGGACATCAGGGAGGAGCCCCCACCGTGGGTAAAACCCTTCCTTCCTCCGCCCTCTCCTTGGTTGCCTGTTTAAACTTGTTACTAACTTAGGGGCTTGTTGCCCATTTCTGTTGCAGGATCCATATGGCTTATTAGATTCAATTACTTCCTTTAGCTCACCAAACTGTGCAAGAAGCTCCCTTTGTTTGTGTCTTTAATGTTGTGGCACCTTGTTTAATATGTAAGACTTCAATTGATTGCTTTCAACCTCGGCATGCCTTTTAAAAGGAGTATTTTTTCTCTCTGGTGAAAATGTAAACATGTGCACATATATATGTATATCTATGGTTGTTAAGAGTCATGTCAACTTTGCCAAGTAAAAACCAGGCGGTACTCTATTTGAGCCAGTTAAAAGGCTATAGTTTTGTTTTTAAAATACAACATTTTTATGTGGTAAATAAGTATGTTTTGGACTACTAAAAGGTGACTTCAAGGGTTTTGTTGAGAGTTTTGATGTTGTCTGAAAAGTGAGAGAAAAGGTAATTGACTGGTAATAGTAAAAAGAGGGACAAAGAGAGTGGTCTTCAAGTAAAGGTGTCTGGCTATGCCAGAATGTGGAAAAAGATTAAAGCTTAGTTTGAGAGGTATTATTGTAAGTTGTAGAAGGCTCAAGAGGATGTAAATTTTATTTGTCTTGGTTTATAGTACTACAAATAACAGGTTTGACAAGAAGTAAATGTGTTCAGAATTTGACAGTATTAGATCAGTTTTGGTAGAAGTATACATAAGATTGTACTTTGCTGCAAAATGTTTTCATTAAAATGAGATTATAGGTGATACTAAAAATAAGATACAAGTTCTTACATGTGCTGTGAACATCTGGGAGATTATGCAGCACAATTTTGTTACCTATAAAAAAGCCCTTTTTGTTAAGAATATAATTTTAGTAAAATGATGGCCTGTCACGTGACACCCTTGGACAAGAAGCAGTGTGCCATCCAGATGAAGCCGGCTCTCTGATCCGGAATGCCAAAACCATGTTCTCCTTTTGTGCCACCCTGACTGGACATCCAGAGGTAAGAAGGTTTCCCAATATTGCCAGTTGTTCTCTTTGTAACTCAGTGGGCCCCACATGTTAGACAAAAATTGCAAAGGTTTAAGAGGTTTAAGAAAATGCCCCTCAGCCAGTTAATAGAGATAGCACAAAAAGGTCTTTGAGAACTAAAAAATTTACAAAAAGATAGCCAAGATGTTAAAATTGCTCTACGAGAGAAGACTTTTAAAAAACAGACAAGACTTTCTGGAGACAGTTGGATACTGTAGGCTAAATTTTACTGAAAAGCTTGCCTCTGTATAACTCCCATAAGGGAGAAACTCAAAATTCGCTGAACTGGACTGATAAATGTAAACAGGCCTTCCAGCAGCTCAAGCGGGCCTTGACAGAGGCCACAGCCCTGGGACTCCCTGACGTTACCAAGCCTTTCACCTTGTTCATAGATAAACTCAGAGACATTGCCAAAGGAGTCCTAACTCAGGACATTGGCCCTTAAAAGAGGCCTATAGCCTACCTCTCCAAAAGACTTGATTCAGTAACAGGAGTATGGCCTCCCTGCCTTAAAATACTAGCTACTGTGACAATGTTACTTAAGGAAGCGAAGAAACATGCTTTGGGCAAGTGATTTCTGTGGTAACCTCTCACAGTTTAGAGACTCTTATCAAAACCCCTCCTTAAAAAAGGCTCTCAAATGCCAGAATTCTACTGTCAAGCCCTGCTTCTAGACCCACAGTCAATGATATTCAAGACTTCTTCAGCTTTAAACCCAGCCACCCTTATGCCTGATGATGATCCGGAGGAACAAAGGACACCTCTCTCCACGAGTGCGCTGACATCCTCGAACTGCAGCAGAACCTACAGGCTGATCTTACTGACCAGCTTTTGGGAAATGCCGACAACTGTTCGATGAAAGCAGCCTCATCCAAAACGGCAAACAAATGGCCGAGGCAGCAGTGACCACCGAAAAGGAGGTACTCTGGGTTAAGCGGGTAGAGCCTGGCACTTCTGCCCAAAAGGCGTAGCTTGTTGCTTTGACTGAGAGGCTAAAACTAGCCACGGAAAAGAGGGTAAACATTTTTTACTGAAGATATCCCTTTGCTACTGTACATATACGTGGAAGCCATCTAAAAATGCTCCACAGATTCTAGATTTGCTGGCAGCTGTCTGGCTGCCTCAATGGATTGCTATTCCTTACAAGGCTCACCCAACCAGAGATAAAAAATAGCAACCACATCAGAGGGGTCAACCAAAAAAGTAACTGCTCTAATACTAGTCCTCTGACCTTGTCAGAACCAGTCTGCACAAAAAAAGACCTACAGTTGGCATCTCAACTTAGAATAAAGTCTCCCACCCCAAGGAGCTGATACCAGTTACCTGATAAACAAGTACTGTTACTAAAGACACTAGGGCGGGAGCTGTTTCACCTTGCAGAATTGTTCAAAACTCAATATTTTATTCCAAAACTCTACAAACTGACCACCTCTTCGAGCTCCAGATGCCCACAGTGCTTGTTAGTCAACTCAGCCGAGAGCTCTGCGTTGGAGACCACCCAACATCAAGAAATTGTTCCAGGAGAACATTGGAAAATAGACTTCATGGACATGGTAAAACTTAATTTACAGGGACACTGCTATCTCTTGGTATTAATAAACATTTTTACTGGCTGGGTAGAGGCTTTCCCTACTAAGTCTGAGTCAGCCTTAGTGGTAATTAAAAGGCTATCGCATGAGATCATACCTTAATTTGGCCTCCCACTATCAATGGGGTCCGATAATGGCCTGGCTTTCATAGCCCGAGTCACCCAAAAGTTAGCCCAGGCATTAAAGATTAATTAAAACTCCACTGTGCCTATCAGCCACAAAGCTCAAGGCAAGTAAAACATATGAACCAAAGTCTCAAGGACATTTTAGCTAAGCTGTCTTCAAAAACTGGCGATAATTGGATGAGCCTTCTTCCCTTTGCACTGTTAAGAACTAGATATACCCCATATGTTTCCAAAATTTCCCCCTTTAAAGCCATGTTTGGGAGGCCCCCGCCATTGGTTCCAAGATTGTCAGAAGACAGATTAGCTAAAATTACTAATCGAGATCTTAAGTCCCTGCAGACACTCCAACCTGTGTTGGCCTGGATCCACCAGCTGTTTAGACAAAAACACCTGGACCTGCCTTCAAAGACGCCTCTCAAGGCCCCAGGGACTCCAGTCTTGGTTCGATGTCACCACCGTGACTCCCTTAAACCCCGCTGAGAAGGACCTTTCACCGTGGTGCTCAGTACCCCCACTGCCATCAAGGTAGCAAGAAAAACTGCGCGGATTCACTACACTCATGTAAAGCCACTGGAAACAGCAAACAACGAGGGACATACTCAGTGGACTACACAACAGACTGGTAACCCTTAAAGTTAAAAATTGACTAAAACATAGATTATGCTGGTTATAAACTGTTTTAGCTTGCTTGTTTTGATAACATTGATGCCGACCTTACACGGCGGCTTTGGTCCCCCTGTAAACAAAAAAAACCTATTGTTAAAGATCTTTGTATGAGAGCCCCCTTCAAGTAAAACCAAAATGTTCTCTTTCCGGGAATCAATTCTGCCCTATATCCTCCCTTTATTGGGACCCCTGGCCGGATTCATTATAGTCATGGCTATAGCCCCTTGCCTCATTAACCGAGTAACCCGGTTTGTGAGGGCCCAGATTTCTCAAGTAAAAGTTATGGTGCTACGTCAACAATATGATCCCTTACCCATACAGGACCTTTAAGATTAAAAGTCATCCACAAGAAAAAGGGGGGAATGAGAGAATCGACTCCCCGTTTGTAATGTAACCCCCCCCCCCCCCGAGCTATAGAACAGAGCTATAAGGAATGTTTCACTCCCTAAACCTTTCCCAGGAGATAATCAGAGCAGGGCAGAAAGGAATGTCTCTGCTAGTCATTAACCACTAGATGTTCTGTTCTCTGTAAAGATAGAGATAAGCAAAAGAATGTACTGCATAAACAGGACCAGGGGGCACCTGGCACTCTAAGGTCAACCCAAGACCCTCGGTCTCCATGGTTACTCAGCCCCAGACCCTCAAATCAGCGTTAGCCAAGTCCTGCGCCGTTCAAAATTAACCAATGCGATTTGCTTCTGTAAACTTGCTTGCCTCCTGCTTGTACCTTTAAAAACCCTGCACAGATTCCCCTCGGGGCCCCTCCGCACACGTTTGCCTGAGGGACCCCATGCGCATGGAAATAAACTTTTTTCCCTCACCAAGAGTTGAGTCCTTGGGGTCTCTTTCCCTGCGGCGTCGGCCCTAACAACAGGAGCCTGTTTCTTTCAGAGACGGGGACCAACTCATCAGCAAGACACTGTAAATGTTTCTAGGCACCGGACACGGAATCCGAACCCTGGGTCGTCCTTCTGGGTGGGAAATAACCACACACACACGTGACTTTCAATGCCCATTGTGCAAGGGAAGAAGGGTCGTGAAACCAGGAACCTAGTCTGAGTACCCTCCTCCGTCGCCGAGTCACCTTGGAGGAGGCCTCAGAAGGGAGGAGCCCTGGGGCGGGGAGGTGGAGGCCCCGCCCCGCATTGTGACGTCTGGGGGGAGGGGCTGAGGGGTCAGCGACTTCACGGAGCAGGGCGCCCCCTGCGCCCCGCCTCTATCCCCACCTCCGCTCCTCTTTCTCCTGCACACCCTCTCCCAGCAGGGAGCATCGGCTTTGCCAGCCTCCTCTGCAACTCGCGCGCAGCCATGGACATGGATGACGCCGACACCCTAGAACCCCAGCCCTGCCCAGAGGGGCCCTGGTTTATCCTGAACGCCTGCTCCCCGCCTCAGGACTCCCCCAGCAAAGTGGGCGGCAGCCTGCTCCGCAAGGCTGCCGTGGTGATCGACATGGGCACGGGCACCTGCAAAATGGGCTTCGCCGGGCAGGCGCGACCCACGTGCACCGTGACCACGGTCGTGGGCTGCGGGCCCCGGAGCCCGGCCGGCCCTGGGCAGCGGGAGCTGGAGACGCTCATCGGCGAGGCGGCCCGCGCGCGCCTGGACCTGCAGCTGCTGCAGCCCGTGCGCGCCGGCATCGTGCAGGACTGGGAGGCCGCGGAGCTGCTGTGGAGCCACGTGCTGGAGCACGACCTGCTCGCTGACCCCCTCGAGCACCCGCTGCTCTTCTCGGACCCTCCCTTCAGCCCGGCCACCAACCGCGAGCAGCTGGCAGAGACGGCCTTCGAGGCGCTGCGCTGCCCGGCCGCCTTCGTGGCCTCGCAGGCGGTGCTGTCCGTCTACGCCCACGGCCGGGTCAGCGGGCTCGTGGTGGACACGGGCCACGGGGTGAGCTGCGTGACGCCGGTCTTCCAAGGCTACGTCCTGCCGCACGCCCTGGAGCGCCTGGACCTGGCCGGCAGCCACCTGTCCGCCTTCCTGGCCGAGGCGCTGAGGCGCGCGGGCTGGGCGCTGGGGCAGCGCGACCTGCATGTGGTGGAGCGCATCAAGCACACTCACTGCTACGTGGCCTCGGATTTCCAGCAGCTGCAGGCGCAGGCAGACGCGCAGAGCAGACGCTGCGTGCTGCTGCCTGACGGGCGCGTGGTCCCGCTGGGCAAGGAGCGGTTCCAGTGCCCGGAGCTGCTCTTCTGCCCGCCGTCGGTGCCGGGGCTGCCGCGCGAGGGCCTCCCCGCCCTGGCCGCCCGCAGCCTGTGCAAGCTGTCTGCCGAGGCGCAGGCGCCCGTGGCCCAGCGCGTGCTGCTGTGCGGCGGCTCCTCGCTCTTCGCCGGCTTCCCGGGCCGCTTCAGCGCGGAGCTGCGGCGTGCGCTGTCCTGCGAGACACACGCCCCCGTGGTGGTGGCCAGGCCCAATCGCAGCCTCTCGGTGTGGATTGGGGGCTCCATCCTGGCCTCGCTGAGCGCCTTCCAGTCCTGCTGGGTGCTGCGGGAGCAGTACGAGGAGCAGGGCCCGCACGTGGTGTATGACAGGTGGTACTGACCACGGGGCTGGGGGTGAGGAGGGGCGGCTAGTAAAGCCTCTCCTTCGGAGCCCACTCGTCCTGTCGTCCTGCAGAAGAGCGCCTGGCCACTCTCCTTCCCATTCAGAGGCCTCCTACTCCCTGATCCAGCCCGGGTTCCCACTTGGCCAGGGTGGGCCTTACAGTACTTGTTTGGTCTAGAGCGCCTCCCTCCTATGCCCTACGGATTCTGACCTTCAAAGACCTCCGGCCCATAACCCACCCTGAACAGAGGTTCAAATCCTGTCAACTCATCCTGCATGTACCTGTGTCTCCCCACAAGGGCCCTACTGTTGCCCCAAGACACAAGAAACTTTCAGATTCTGACCTCCTAATCTCCCCCCACGTGTTCCACTGCCCCCCCCCAACTCCCATATTGGATCTCTGTTTTGCCCAGGCTGCTCTCAAATTCTTGGGCAAATGTGAGTCTCCTGTCTCAACCGACCTTCAGAGGAGTTGGGCCCACCGGAAGTTGTCACCATGCTAGACTCATGGTTGCATTTCATAATGTCCCCCCAAGATTCTCCTGCACTGTATGCCCCCTACGTGCTGCCCTTGTTACGCTCCCCAAGAGCTTCGAACTCGCTCCACGCAAGGAACCTGCAGGAACAAGGTTGCTCCCCCTCCCATCCTGGAGTACTCCTAGGTTATCACCCCGACTCTGCCACCTGCCTTTAATCCTCCAAGCGGGGCCCTAAAGTCCACCGGCTCTCAGCGCCTCAAATGTACCTACTTGTCTTCCTACAGAATCACCACACACACACTCAACGCTGAATCTCCTCATTAGGGATCCATATTCTGAACCTCAAGGGTCCCCCAGACCTCATCCCCAAGTTCCATTCTCCCCCAAAACTCTACCTATTGTGACTTGTTCTGCCACACCCCCTCTCCAGCCCATGCCATCCTTGTCTCCCACACAAATCCGCACTCACCACCTGTACCCCCAAAGTGCAATGAGTTTAAGACCCCAAAACCCAAGATGCTCCCTGTTGCACTAAACTCACCCCCTCGCACTTTGCCTCACCCAGAACTGCTCCCACGTGTTCTGTCTCATCCGAATCCTTCTTGCTCTGTCCTCTGGCTCTCAAGTCTTCCCAGGAAGAATCCTCTGGATGCCCACATCTAGACAGTGCTACGGACAACAGGCCCCTCCTAGGATGATCTGGCTAATGTCCTAAGCCACCCTCTGAGCCTCTGTGCCCCCAGCAGCCTCCCCTGGAGGCCATCCCCTCCTGTTGAGTCCCCACTCTGGACACCCCACTCTGGGGCTTTTGAAGACCTCCTGGGGGCCCATTGTATCTGCCCCACTAGGACTCCAAAGGGTGAAGATGTCCCCAACCCACTGTGACTCTCAGGCAGATATGGCAGGTGACAGCAACACCTGGACACCGGCTCCTCCACCCGCTGCTGCACAGAACCCCAGAGTCCCCTTCCTTCGAGCCCAGAACCATCTCCCCAGACATTCCTCAGGCCACCCCCGTGACACAGACCCGGGCCTTCCTCTGGGACCTGCCCTGGGGATGACCCATGAGGCAGGTCTGCCCACTTGGCCTCTGCCAAGGCCAGGGGTGGGAATGCAGCCCCCAAGTGTGGGGAGACTGGGGATTCTCCATAGGGTACACCTGGGGGCCCCTGGTGGGGGCAGGATCTTCACAGCTCCCAGCCCAGCTTGACCGAAAATCAAGGCCCCTTTACCCCCCAGCCAACAGTGGAAACACGCTCACTCAGACTCCATTCATCAAAACCGTGAATGGGAGCCATCAGAGTTTACCACCACCCGCGCTCTGTGTTCAAGGAATCACTGACACATTCACTGGTTTATCAGTCTTTCCCGGACTCGCTCCCGGATATTTCTCTCTGCATACCTGAATTTGTTTTATAGGATCGCCATATGCTGCCCACCTGGTTCTCTAAAAACCAGGCCCAAGTGGTTCTCCCGCCTCGTCGTCCTGCGCACCTAAGACTAGAGATGGGAAACACCTAGCCCAGCTACACTGGCCCGGGGACACCGCTCCCGCAAGACCACATCACCTGTGGACGGGGTGGGCGGGATCAGCCAGCCGCACCCTCCCCAGAGCGTCCCAGCAGCTTGGTCACTTTTTCTTCTTCCCGCTGGGGGGCAGCACGTCCCAGCTCAAGCAAGGTGGGGAGGAGAACAGGGAAAGGCAAGGGAGGGGAGGAGAGCAGAGAGATGAGTCTCAGATACCACAGGAAGTGAGTGGATGCAAACCCCTGCTGCCCTAACTAGGAAACCCCAGGCCCTCATTTAAACCACGCCAAGCTTCGCCCTGCTCCAGAACTTCCCTTGGGCAGAAATACCCTCCCCAAGCCTCAGAGCACAGGCCCTTCCCAATTCCACTGGCCACGCTCACTACCTCAAAGCTGTTGAAATCTCACCTCCTCTGAACCGTACTTGTGGGTGAACTGCTACCCACAGCCCCAGCACACACCCAGCCTGCGCACAGAGACCCCTCCACACACTGCCTGGAGCCCATCACCGCCAAGCCCAGCGTCCCCCTTCCTCCACTCCGGGATAGAGGTGAGGACACGGTCATTCCACGAACACTCCTTGCTCATTCAGTGTGCTGGAAACTGAGGAAAGCCCAGCCAAGAAGAGATAGGGTCCCTGGCCCCAGGTCCCTTCCCTTTGGGAGACACAGTTCATCCACCAGCTGCCTGTGAGCTGCAATCTCTTCCCACAGCAACCCAGGAGCCTTCTAAACACCCCTGCACTGCCCACCCTTCTCCACCTTCTGAGCCCAGCCCAAGCCCCTTCGTTGGGCACCGGGGTGATTACTGGGACCTCCTCCTAGTAGCCCGCTCTCTCAGGGGAACCCTGCAGCGGACTTCTGTAAAACGGAGTCAGAATGCAACATCCTCCATGCATTCTGCTGGCTTTCCATTCCAGGCAAAGCAAGCCAGGTTCTTACTGTGGCCCTGAATCCTCCGCCAGTCTGTCCACACCTCTCCACGCTTTTTCCTGGGCCTCTGCACCCGGCCACACCTGCAGCCTTCCTTCCCCAGCCATGGAGTGCTTGGTGTCCCCTCAAAGTCCCTGATCCCAGGATTTCGGGAAGTGACTGTGTTTGGAGACAGGGCCTCTAAATGGAGGATTACGGTAAAATGAGGACATTAGGGGGGCCCTTATAAGAAGAAAAGGATAGTAAACCAGCACAACCACAGAGATTCCTCAAAAATCTACGGTGAGAAATTCCATTCAACCCAGCTATTCTCCTTCTAGAGATCCCCCAAAAAACTTAAACACATTAGATGACAAGAGTACCTGTATCCCCTTATTTAAAGCACCACAACTCATCCTAGCTAACTCTTGGGAATTGCCTAACTGTCCAGCTACAGATAAATAGATAAAGAAAATGTATTTATACACCATGGAACACGAATGACTGTGCCATAAAGGATAAAATTGGGTGCTACTGCGACAGCAATCAGAAACACCCTAACGACACCCAGGACTTGGAGGCGGATTTATTTACACTGACGGGCTGGCTGGGCAGGGCAGGGGGCATTTGTAGGAAAATGGATTCATTATAGACCATAAGATTAAGTGAAATATGTCAGACACACATGCTTGAATACCTCGCAGGTTCTGTTACACGAGAAACTCAAGATATAAATAATTAACAGCACAAAATAAGAAAACAGGGAGGCTGGTGTTTTGCAAACAGTAAAAGAGATGGAGGGAAGGGAAGGGGGAAAGGAAAAAGAACCAAGAGGTGTTACGCACATGTCCCAGCTCCCCATGATGAATGCAATCGTCATGTGACAAACGTGGGCCAGTAAACACATCACGAACCTGACGACAGGACACAGACGCACAAAGAGGTGATCGCACAAAGACTCAGGGTGAGGATGGCCAGCTGGACGCCAAGGAGATGGGCCTGGGGAGGATCGAGCCTGCCAACACCCTGACCTCAGATATCAGCCTCCACAACAGAGGAAACTCAGTGCTTTTCTTGACAGCAGCCTGGCAAACTCATCCAGACCTGGGCACTGAGAAGGGCTCCGAGGCTGCATTCTGGGAGGCTGAGCCAGGAGATTCACGAGTTCAAACTCAGCCTGGCAAATGTAGCCATTTAGCAAGCTCCTGTCTGAAAATAAATAAGTGCTGGGCTGTGGGTGGAGCTCCCGGTGAAGTCCTGAATTTGATCCCTGGCACTGCAGTAGAAGACGCCCCCATCCCTGCCAGCTGGTAGGTATTCTCCAGTGCCTCAGTTGCCCAGGTAACAGCTCCTGTCTTTCCAGGTGCTCCTCCCTTTTAGAAGCAGCCAATCACTGTGACCCTCACTGTGTATACCAATCCCCCACCGACAACCCACTCTGCCTCTGCACTTCCTGCGTGCTTATCTCCTATAAGCCCTGAACCACCTGAGATCAGGGTCTGACATTGTGGGAATGACCCCCGTCAGCAGCCGTCAGTGTAAATAGATCTGCCTCCAAGTCCTGGGTGTCATTAGAGTGTTTCTGCTTGCCATTGTAGTAGCACCCAAAATTTTTTGTCTATTCTGTTCCTTTGTCTTTTTAGCCCATACCATCACTGACTTTATACCAAGGTATTTTAAGTGTTGCCACCTTTACATCAGTGCTGTTTATGAAAGTCAAGAGGAAGAGTAAACCTTCCACAAGGACATTGCCTGGTCTTCCGGGGGAAGGCTTGGTGGGTTTCTGGTTTACCCGGGAGCATCGCATGACCTCACCGCCATCTCGATTTGGACATCAAGCACGGTTTCAGGAGAGGCACTAGAGTGCTCTTCTGACAAGGGGTGAACTTTACGTGTCACCCTGGCTGAGCCACGGTACCCAGATACTCGGGCTACATTATCGTGGAGTGTGTAAAGCAGACTACGGGTGGGCCTTGGGTAAACCATGGCAGGCATTCGTACAAAAAAAAAAAAAAAAAAAAAAAACCCTGACCTCTGAGAAAGAATTCTGGCAGGAGTTAACTCGAACTGCAGGGGGTTTT